CTAAACCCTAAACCCTCGGTGCTGCCTAGTTTCTTTTCTAGCAAAAGAAGAGCAGCAAAACCCTAAACCCCAACATGACTGAAGTTCAGCTCAAGGCTGCTGCTGCCCACAGACGCACTCACTGCAAACTTATCTGCAGAAAATGCATGTTTTTGCTGCTGCTGCTGCTGCAGCAGCAGCAGCTGCCGTAGCTGTTGCTGTGGCCGCCGCAGCAGCCTCGACGCAGCTGTTGCTGAACCTGCAGCAGTAGAAGCTGCAGCAGCAGAAGCTGCAGCGGCAGAAGCTGCAGCGACAGGAGCTGCAGTAGCAGAAGCTGCAGCGGGAGTGGCTGCAGCAGCAGAAGCTGCAGCAGCAGCAGCTGCTGCTCGAGGCTAAGACCCTTTCGCCAGATGACCATCAGGCCTTCTTCAGGGCGCAAATAAACTGACCAGTGGACCACTGGGGGCTGCTGGCTGCTGCAGCTGGTGCCCAGCAGCAGCGGCAGCAGAAGGCAGCAACAGCTGCTGCAGCAGCAGCAGCAGCAGAAGCAGCTGCAGGGACAGAAGCAGCTGTTGCAGCAGAAGCAGCTGCAGCAACAGCTGCAGCAGAAGAAGCAGCAGCAGCTGCTCAATCAGCTGCTGCTGAAGGGCAAGACTCTCTCAGGCATTACAGAACAACAGCTGCCGCCGCTGTTGCTGCTGCTGCCGCTGTTGCTGCTGCTGCAGCTGCAGCAGCAATTTAAATCGGGTTCGTCTCTTCCCAAATGGATCCCCACATTCCATACAAGTGTTTCCGGAATTGTAAATGTTTATTATTTATTTATTTATTTTATTTATTTAATTAAGTCAATTTATTTATTTTTGTTTGTTATTCTTTACTTTTCCCTTTCATTTGCTGCTGATTTGTTATCATTCTTACCATCGATATATATTGCTGTCATTTATTTATTTATATCTATTTACTTAATTCATTTATTTAATTTATTTAATTTATTTATTTATTTTAATTAATTTATTGATTATTCCATAAATCCCTTTTTATATATGTGGCTGTGTCTTCGGCAGATTAATTCATTTAAATGAAATCATTAAAACGACACTTTTGTTGATTAATTAAATATCAATAAAGGCACTTTTATTCTTATTATTTGGTATAAATTAAGATATTTTATTTATTTTTATTTTTATTTTTATTTTATATTTCATGTTTCCCAGTGCTGCTGCAGGCATGCCGGGGGCTGCTGCCTTCGTGCCGCCTTGCTGCAGCAGCAGCAGCAGCAGCAAAACGCACGGAACGCTGCTGCTGCTGCTGCATCAGCAAAGCCGAGCAACCGCTGCTGCTGCAGCAGCAGCACCAACAGCAAAGCGGAGCAATGCTGCTGCTGCTCCAACGAAGCTAAGCAAACGCTTCAGCTGCTGCAGCGAAGCGGAGCAAACACTGCTGCCGCCCCTGCTGCTGCTGCTGCTGCTGCTGCTGCTGCTGCTGCTGCTGCTGGTTTATAAGATGCGTTTGTCTGAGACGAGCCCGACGATGTAGCGGGCGTGAAATGCTGCTGTTGCCACCAGCATTAAAAACTCAACACAATTCAACCAAGACAGCCGCTGCAGGAAGCTCTGCGCAGTTTCGTTCAAAGACCGCTGCCGAATCCACAGGTAAGAAGACTCCGCCTGCAGCAGCAGCAGCAGCAGCAGCGGTGAGCGGCGGCGGCAGTGCAAAGCAGCAGCAGCAGCGGCAGGGAGAGGCAGCGGCAGCAGCGGTGATAAGAGGCAGCAGCAGTGCAATGCAGCAGCAGAAGCGGCAGGGAGAGACAACAGCAGTACAAGCCAGCAGCAGCAGCAGAGGCAGCAGCAGGGCAAGGCAGCAGCAGCAGCAGAAGCAACAACCTGTAACAGCAGCAGAAGCAGCAGCAGCAGCAGCAGCAGCAGCACGTTTTGAACGCCATTTCGCTGGATTTTTGCGCTCGTTCTTGATTTTTCGACGGAACAAACGCAAAAATGAAAACAAAATGACAGAATAAATGGAAAATAATCCAAAAAGAAGAAATTAATTAATTTAAATACCTGAATGTCCTTCAACTGGCGCTCGAGCTGCGCCACCATTTCCTCCGCGTTGTTCAAGTGCTTCGGCAGCAGAGCCGTTTCGGCGCCGCGGCCAATTGCAAAAGTGACAGTCTTCGACTCCATCCACCTAAAGTGGCGAAAAAAAGAAAATTAAGAATAATTAGGAATTAAAAGGATAAAAAATAAATTAATTTGAATTGAAATCACAAAAAACGAACATTTTATTCGAAAAAACCAAAAAAAACGAGAATGGACCAGTGGTCCACTGGCCCGCCAATTCAAAAACGCCAACGAAATAAACGCAAAAAACAAATTTGAATTCAAATAATAAAATAAACAAAATAAATAAATAAATAAATAAATAAAGTAAAATAAATAATACAATAAGTAGATAAATGAAATAAAATGAATAAATTTAAATTTGAATGATTTAAATTCAAATTGTAGCAAAACCACAAGAGGCCCTTTTGGCGTTTCTTAATTTGAATTTAATTCAAAGAAGAATTTTAAGTTAATTTAATTCAAATTCTTTTAATTTAATTCTTTTAATTTAATTCTTTTAATTCAATTTAATTTAATTGGCTTTTATTTGCATTTGCTTCTGCTGCCATTTGCTGCACTGCAGCGGCTTTTGCTGCTGCTTCCGCCAACTGCACACTCTTCCTGCTGCTGCTTTGCTGCTGCAGTTTTGCTGCAGCCTGCTGCTGCTTGCTGCTGCTTTGCTGCTGCTTGCTGCAGCAACATTAAAGCAAAAACTTGCCTGTGGTTGGACAAGATGAAAGAATAAGTTCCTTTCTTTTTCGCCGTGAAGTAAAACAAACCTTCCGAGCGGCTCTTCTTGTATATCAAGTCCCCTGAAACGCACACCCGCACCTGCTGCTGCTGCTGCTGCTGCTGCTGCTGCAGTGCTAGAAAACAAAACAAGTGCCCACAAGAACACGAAGCCAAAAAGAAAAAATATCTGCAAATAAGGCTCTCAAAAAGCCCCCCCGCCGCAGACCCAACTGCGTCAGGCAGCGCCGCCCTGCCCTCGCCGCCGCCGCCGCCGCTGCTGCTGCTGCTGCTGCTGCTGCTGCTGCTGCTGCTGCCCCACCGTCTGGGTCTGTGATGGAGAAGTCCACGGCGCTGTCGCCTTCGTCTCCGCCGACGAAAAATCCGCCCCTCAAAAAAACTCCGGCGGACTCGACGGCTTCGTAGAAGTACTCATCAGAGCGCGCGCTCAAGGAGAAGGTCACCTGCAGCAGCAGCAGCAGCAGCAGCAGCGCAGCAGCAGCAGCAGCGGCAGAGGAAGCAGCGGCAGAGGCAGCAGCGGCAGAGGCAGCAGCGGCAGAGGCAGCAGCGGCAGAGGCGGCAGCGGCAGCAGACACGGGAATGCAAAGCTTTCATGCTCTGGGGCGATTGCAGCTGTGCGCTGCTGCTGCTGCTGCTGCTGCTGCTGCAGCCTGGTGCTTGGGGAAGCAAAGATAGAAACAAATAAAAATAAACAAAAAGCAAAAGATGAACAAAATGCCGAGGGGCGGAGGGCCCGTGGAGTCGAGACATGACAACAGCAGCAGCAACAGCAGCAACAGCAGCAGCAGCAACAGCAGCACCAGCAGCAGCAACAGCAGCAGCAGCAACAGCAACAGCAAACTCACGAGCATCTCTGGAATGAAATTTTGCATGTGCTTCTCCCACTCCTCCATCAGGCTGGCTGTTTGGCTGTCAGCTCCTTCAGCCATCTGAAAACAAAATAAAAAATATCAAATAATGAATAAATAAATAAATAACAAATAATAAATAAAAACTAAAGCAAAGCAGGAGATGCTGCTGCGCTGCAGCGCAGCAGCAGCTAAAACGCCAGTATCTGAGCCACAGCAGCAGCACCCCTGTCTCTTCCTCAGCGGCTCTGCTGCTGCTGCTGCTACTTCTGCTGCTGCTGCTGCTGCTGCTGCTACTTCTGCTTCTACCGTTTCTGCTGCTGCTACTACGTCTGCTGCTTCTACTACTACTATTATTATTATTATTACCACTACTGCTACTACTATTGCTGCTGCTGCTACTTCTGCTGCCGCTGCCGCTGCTGCTGCTGCTGCTGCTGCTGCTGCTGCTGCTGCTGCTGCTGGCTTACGGCTCCCTCCTCGACTCGCCTTGGCTGATACTCTGGGGCCATTTCGTCCACGGGCTGCACCACAGGGTCTGCGTATGCAGCAGCAGCAGCAGCAGCAGCATCAGTTTGTTTTTGCTTTTGTCTCTTTTCCTTTTGCTTCTTTTCCTTCTTGTTGCCGCTGCCCGGCTGCTGCTGCTCCACGCGCGTCGGCTGCTGCCGCTCCTGGCTGGGCTGCTGCCGCTTCGCCTGCTGCTGCTGCTGCTGCTGCTGCTGCGGAGGCGGCGCTGCAGCCCGCGCCCCCTGCTGCTGCGGGGGCGGCGGCTGGTACTGGGGGGGCGGGGGGGGCTGGTAGTACTGCTGCTGCTGCTGCGGCGGCGGCGGCTGCTGCTGCTGCTGCTG